CCAATCGCGCGGTCTGGAAAAAGACATTTCGGGGTCGAAAAAAAGAGGAGCCCCTTTTGCTCTGGCGACGCCAAGCTTTTTCTGAATTTGTTCATTCTGATTTTATTTGCTTTTTTGTTTTGTTTTTTTTTTCTTTTGTTTGCCCTTGTTTGCTATTTGCCCTTGATGTTTCCACAATCACTGAGAATGTTGTTGTCTTTTTTTGTTTTCCCTTTTCTTGAATTTTTCATTTGCCAATCTTTGCGCTGTGCTGCTCTCCAAGTTTTTCACGCGTGCAGTTCCGCCATAGCACACGCATAGCTTTCTGTGCTTGGGGAATACTGCTGTGTCGGTTTGCGCACGCTGTGTGATGTCGCGGCTGTGCCAATAAATCCGAGAGTGATTTTGATTGAACAAATGGCAAGCAAGCCACTTTGAGAGCTTTGACTTTCTTGGCATGCGCCCAGACACAGCATTGTGCAAATGCACTCAACACGGCACTGCAGCATGCCAAAAAGCGTATCTGATAAAATTCGATGACAGTGACAGGGAAGTTATAGTTCCTTACTGACCTTTCTCTTTTGTTTTCACCTCTTACAGTCGGAGTTGCCGTTCGAGAGCTGCTTCTCCAACAGACTCTGCTGCAAGGCTGCAGCTGCTGCTGCTGTTGCTAAGGCGGCTGCTAAGGCTTCTATTGCCAGCTGCTGCTAAGGAGGCGCTGCTACGGCTGCTGCTCAGAGGCTACAGATTTGAGCTGCTCATTGGGTTCTTATTCGGGTCCAGCCAGTGTTGAATCTTCTTTGTTCGGTTCAACTTGGCAGAAACAGCACGTCACCGTGCAGATCCAAGCAGAGCACATCGACAGACACAGGCAAAGCATGTCCAGCTTGGGTCGAGGTTCATACTCTGTGATGTGTGCGTTTTCTGCAAAGACAGAAGTTCAGACCTGGTTGAGCACTTGGAAGTTTTCTTGTCTTGATTCTTCAGACAAAATTTCTGAGAAAGCCTTTGAAGAAAACTGGAATCAATACCAGAGACCTGTTTTTCTTGTTTGTTTAACATCAACAAGTTTGTTGCAGACCAGAGTTTGAGTCCACTGAGTCAGTTTTCGACATTGTGTGTTTTTATCAAATTGCAGAAGTTTCACATGAGCATCCCTGGCTTTAGGAAGGTGAAACTTCCCACTTCTGACTGCAATACTGACTCTCCAACGACGAAAAGCGCGGTCCTTATCGTGACTTCTTGACACTGTCCTGAACACAAGCGTTTCAGACAAGACGAGCTTTGCTTACACCCTGTGATAAGCAAACATCTTTAAAATTTCGTAACGTCAAGCACAGCTCAGAGTCCAGGCTAGAAACCTACAAAATAAGAAAAAGAAGAGGAATTTCCATGACGCATGGAGGGTTTGAATCGGAAGAATCTAGGTTCAAACTCCCTCTAGATCTTGCACATGGCGCTGTCCCAATGGAGACGTTCGACCTTGATAGGGTGAATCATTCCCTTTGAGCATCGCGCTGTCCCTCTAACTTGACGATTTCGGACGAATCATTTGTCAGGCTGAGCTCGCAGCTGCTGTGAGCATTCGTTGTCGCCTCTACATTGCTTCGCGGACGTGCATCTGCTTCATCGATGAAGAGTCTGTTTCTGAGTACCCTCCTGCAGCGCTGGCTTCTTTTTTCCATGTTTGGGATGTCCACCTGCACGCGTGGGCAGAGCGAGTACCCTCCCTGGGGGCCGGTAGCACCAACTTTTGACCGACGAAAGCAGCACCGAGGAAACGGGGCTCTTTTCAGGAGCGCAAACATTTCATGATTGTTTTTGTGGCAAACTCAAGCTTTTGTTGTATTGTTGATGTTCTTGAGGTTCAAATTTTTGGATGATTGTATGTGATGTTGCTTAGAAAAATGCCGTGGTTTTGTGATCTAGACTCATGCTTGCGAACTTGTTTCTTTCGCTTTTACAGAAAGTTGCAACTGCTGCTGCTGCTGCTGTTGTTGTTGTTGTTGGTATTTTCGATAATCTTCGTGGAAATGAAGGCAAGACACGCCTTAAATTGTCGTTGTCAGTCTCGATGAGCTGGATCGTAGTAAACGCGGGGATTTGTTTTCTTTGCCAGGGTTTATTGTCTGCGGCACTTTGCTTTTCAGCGCGGCTTGCATGTGGAGGTCGGGGCAGGGCACCTCGAGCGACAAGGCAACAAAGATAAAGACGGCGTGTTTTTGGCGTCAGGCAATGTTCTGGAAACATGAATCGCCTTCATTTCGCTTTTCACATGTTTCTTGTGATGAAGAATGCGTCCAATCTGGTTGTTGTAGAGAATCGGACGCGGATCGCGGTTAATGAATAAACGTGACAATCTATGGCTGATACATGGCTTGCTTTCAGCATGTGCACTGTAGATGGTAGTCGTCGCACGCTTTTGAAGGCCGGGTGTGGATTTCGGTGGTCGACATGTCATTGCAGAACGTCCCATGAAGTAGTTTAAGCATTCTGGGATAAGCAGAGTCAGGGAGTTAACACGATGTATACGTAGGACCAGTGTTATGGAGCAACGATCTTGGTGGCAGGTGTGCCGCAAACTCTTTTGGCATGATTCCCAAGACTTGTCGGGCACTTGGAAATCGCTGTTCCTGAACATTTCAGCATGTACTTTGCGGTTCAATCCCAGTTTGCGGGGTTTCGCCCAATCTCATTCAAACTCTACGCCTCTACGCATGTGTGTTTTTATCGACTGCACGCAGTCACAACACATGGAATACTTGGACAGCTGTTGGGTTCGTGGTCATCACGACGGTGTTTTCAGGCCGTGCCGCACCAAGACTTGCAGGACGCTTTTGCCAAGTTGGGAGCAAGAGACAAAGTCCTCGCCTGAGAATGGGTTTGCGCCACAAGTTTTCACTGCCGGAGTGTGTGTTGTCAGGTTCTCTGGCAACGCATGTTCCGCCGGTATCAGCTGCACCGCCCTTGATATACTTCATTTGGAACTTCTGACATTTTAGTGGCATGGAGGCGGTGGTGAAATCAGTTGGCACTGCGACCAATTGGCCCAGCTGGCAATCTCCGAATTCGGCTTGAATCTTAAAGGGTCTGTTTGAGCTGCAGCAAGTTCATGGTGCATCGCCTAGGCTATTGTGAAACCGGGTGCGGATCCTTACGACTGGGCTTCTCGACGCAGTTGTCTTGGTCGGCATAGTTTTGCAGAAAATCTGTTCTAGAACGACATCTTGGCCATGCCGAAGCGAAACCAAGTTGCAACCTTGGCAGTGTCGTCGTTGACAGCAGTTTCAGCAGTTCTAAGGACTGCGAAGTCGACTGGAAGGCTTGGGGCTCTGATCTCTGGTGCAACGAATAACCCAATTCATGTGCGCGTTGTCTGTTCAAGTGCATGGCGTATGGTTCCCGCGCATTTTGCTCTCCTTGCCAGGACATGCTCAAACTTGAGAGCAGGCTCTCTGAAGAGGCCTGTTTTGTGGCATGGAATTTTTCAAGCTCTCACCTGACACCCACACAGCTGTACAGCAATTCGCATTTATTTGGTAAGTTGGTGTGCTGTGAGCATGTGCCAGAGGAGGTGTTGATCAAAGACACCGCGCGACAATTTGCAGATGCGGAGTTGATGCCAAAGGTGCACCTTCAGACAATGAACATGGTTCGGGGACTTTTACAGTTTTCCATCAAGGTAGAGAGGCCTTCTGGTGTTGCTTCCGTCACTGCCTGTATGTTGCTGAGTGATTTCCAGGTATTCGTGCACAAAGAAGAACTATCAAGCTGTGCACTCGTATCCGATCCATGGATTGACGCATCTCGTGGCGGAGTGCATTCAGGGTTCCAGAAAGCGTTGAGCAGCACCAAAACTCTTGCCGCAGAGGTGCTAGTTTCATTTTTGCTTTCTTTCGAGGCTTTGAATCTCCAAACCAGGGACACTTAAGAGTTTGGTTGTATGGCCCGTCGTCCGGATGAATCGGGTAGAAGTGGAACCGACCCTTCAGATATGCGCACCCGGAAACGGTGAATGCGGGCAGTTGTGAAATCTTTGAGAGTTCCAGCAGCAGGTCTTGAATGGCTTCAGGGAGGAAACCTTTGACAGGGGCCTCATGAAGGCAGGGTTGTGCTTGCTTGGGATGCTCGTTGTATCGCTGCATCGGCACTTTGATGTCTAGCTGCCATGAGGCCATGGGCCAGGCGGGTCTTTTAGGGTCCTTCATTGAGGGTGTCGGCCTTGAATCACTTCACTACCTTGCTGGTGGACTTGCCTGGCACCAAGGCTATGGATGCGCCGGCGCATCTGCTACATCATATGGACTGATCGCCCGTGAGGCGGAACGCAGGGAGGGACGTGATTGCCGTGCCCTCGCATCTTCTCTGAGCAACTGGACGGGGACAACTGTATAATCTTCCAGCTCCTGTGGGGACGATTTTTGCAGATCTTGTCAGGTGGAGCGAGTCGATTCTGCCTACCGATCGGCACTGTCCGTGCAGTCATCTTTAGTGATGTCCCCAGCAACTCTGAGGATCTCTGACTGACAGGATGCGTTTGCTGGCTTAATGAGGGAAGAGTAGGGATGGTTTGGCAAGGTCATGAATCCGATCAACCTCTTCGGGTCTCAGGACCAGCTAATGTCGTTTATGTGCTTCTTAGTTTTGTGGAGCCTCCTCCCACATAGAGGAACTATAGGCTCGGCAACTAAGACGGCACTTTTATGGGCAGAAGGGTTCATGACTGGATCCAAGCACTTGAATCACATCCCGGACGACAGGAGCAAAGAGAGCGTTTCCTGCCACGCTTGGCATCTGGAGACCTCGTTGGCTTCGGTCTCAGCTGCAGCTGAGAATCATGGTTCACACACGTCCAACTGAGCATCCTGAGGCTGCTTCGGGCTCACAGAGCCCGACCACGGTGATGCCCTTAGAGTCTTAGAGACATCAGACTGAAGGGAAGTTTCTTCTTCTAAGACCTCGCCCTCGGCATGCTTCGCTCATGCCGTGAAGCTTCAAGACCCTGGCTTGCACCAAGGCTCGGATCCCAGCGGCATGGTCACAAGGGCCATGGACAAGGCCGGTGCCACTTGTGGATCAGCGTGTTCTGTTGGCAGAACATATGTGATTTTGTGCAGGGGGATCACTTCGTGTTAAACGGCGCAAAGAACTGGATCACCAACTCTCCGATCGCTGACGTTTGCCTGGTCTGGGCGAAGACGAGCACTGACAACAAGGTGCCGTCCGTTGAACCGTCTACCCGGACCTGCCGCAGCGTTCCACGGCAGGTGCGCGGCTTCCTGGTAGAGCGGGGGATGGAGGACCTGTGACATCTTAGGACAAGCCTGACAGATTAGCGGAAGTGTCAAAGGGCCTCTCCACTCCGAAGATCGATGGCAAGTTTTCTCTTCGGGCATCTCCCACGGCCTTGGTCCTAGAGTCCTGGTGCTTTTGGAGGTTTCAAGCAGGAAAGGTTCAGAGGTTCTCTGTGTCGCACTGTGGATCTTTTCCAGAACCGGAGCTCCAGAGCTTCGGCGAGCGTGACACGGACTTGTGCATTGGACCGAGGGTATGATCCAGCTTGATGACGTCAAAGTTCCAAGGGACAATGTTCTGCCGGCATCAAAGCTTTGCGATCAACCCAGGCGCAAGACGCAGCTTGATCACTTTTTTCTGCAAGGCCAAACGTTGTCGGCATGCGTGGGCCTTTCGCCTGCCTGAATTCAGCTCGGCTCGGTGCCCGCTTGCAGACCCCACTTTGCTTTGTGGGGAGGGTCGCTCTCTGGCAGGTATCGCCTGGGGTGCTCTGGGTGCTGCAGAGTTTTGCCTTGAAGCTGCAAGGCCAGCCTTGATGGATTCTCGTCCAAAAATGCAGAGATTGTTGCGAGTGTCAGGAACTACACTTTGGGCAGGAAGCAATTTGGCCGCCCACTCGCGGCCAACCAGCTGGTGCGCAGAGGGATGCTGCGATGAAAATCTGGCTAGGGACATGGAAGACGAATTTAAATCCATTGTATTGGCTGTTCCCGTCAGCGGCCAAGCTTCGCTGTTTATTTGCTGTTGCGGCACGGCCGGTTCACACCAAAATCTCATCAACAAATGGATTCTATACGTAGTTTTTGCATTCGGGAGATGTTGCTCGTGGTCCGTGCTGTGCCAGATCCAGATGAAGATGGCCAACGCGATGACGGTGCGCACTGTTTTGCCTGCAAGGTCCGTAAGGTGTAACCGACCGCGCACTTTATCTCAGTAGCTACTCCGCGGGTTGGCACTGCAGCATGCCTCGTGCTTCATTCAACTTCGAACGGACACCCACTGGCGACAGTTTAAAGGACATCACGATCGGACTCAATGCCGTCCTGCAAGCCACTCGCATGAAGGAGGCGACGTCTGCGAGAGATCAGACATACATCAGTTGGGCTGGTAGGTGGCAGGAGACTCACAAGCGGCATCTGGCGGGTTGTAGTCAGCCGTCGAGGGGGGCAACTGGCATGCGCTGTGGATCCACAGGCTGGGGAGCTGCACTCCAATGTCATTTCCATGATGAAGCGCAACTCGTGCACAAAGGCCGGTGCATAAACTAGAGTTCTCGGCCATGATGCTGGCATACTGATCATACAGTACCTAACGAAGGTCATTACAGCCCTGTTGTTGACATTCCGTGGTTGCAGACGCTGATTATTGATTGGCGCAGCCATGCTCACCCAGTGCAGACGTCATGCGTTGTGGAAGCAGCACCATGGTATCCGAGCAAGAACCAGTCTTTCCCCAAATGGCGGCTGAGGCTCTTGAGATCGCACGTACTTGCCGGGACATGCTTGGAGGCACCGTAGTCATCTGTACTCGACTGTCGCAGCAAGGAACACGGAGCAAAGAGATAGAGCTAGGTGAGTAAGGGTCCGGCTATGATTAGACACGCAATGTGGAGTAGTGCATCTTGGTATTTGGAGTTGTGCATGACGCAAAACTGGGAATTTATTGTCCTACCAGTTTGGTTGGAGAAGGAGGAGGAGGAGGAGTAGTAGTAGTAGTAGGAGTAGTAGTAGGAGTAGCAGTAGCAGTAGCAGTCGCAGGCGCAGGCGCAGGCGCAGGCGCAGGCGCAGGCGCAGGCGCAGGCGCAGTAGCAGTAGCAGT